TGGCCATGGGTTCTTTGGCAGCTGGATGTCTTTTTAACTAAGGACAACTGCTTCACAATGACAGAGATGGTAGGGGCTTTTCTGATTCTTTTACTATGGTAAGTGTTATTTACAGCAATTAGGAATTCCCATTTACAAATATGTCACTTTCTCCCAGCCTTTACTCAGGGCTATTCAATAACAACCCATTGGTCCAGTGCTAAGTTATCAGCTTTCCCACCTTTTTCTTCTTTTAGCCCACTCCCCAAGAAAGAGATAGGAAGGGAATTGGTTGTACTGCTGTGGAAAGCATTCAGCAAGTTTTTTCTGTCTGGATCTTGGCAGCTGGCCTCTGCCTAGACCAGTGATGGCGAACCTTTTAGAGACTGAGTGCCCAAACTGCAATCCAAAACTCACTTATGCATCATCGAGTGCCGGGTGGGTGTGGCCCATTGGGTGGGTGTGACCCATTGGACGGGCATGGCTTCGGTGATAACAGCAGACTGGGTGGACTAAAAAGTTCAATCAATCAATTCCAACTTTGCAAGAACTTTTTTTTCCCCACAAGTTGAAATTGACTGATTGAACCTTTTTTTTTTTTTTTTTGCACATGGCGACGAAAGCGAAAAGGTTTTATAAAACCCAGCTGAAGGCCTAGGACTGGGGCGACAGCACGCGTGCCCACAGAGAGGGCTCTGAGTGCCGCCTCTGGCACCCGTGCCATAGGTTCGCCACCACTGGCCTAGACACTGTGTGATACATCTCCCTCTGGGCCTTTTTCCCAGGCCTTCGTGATCTGAGGTTACTTCAAAACTCCAAGTATCTGTCTGCAAACTTCGTCTATCTGAGATTTTGTTTCTCTTCTGCCAGGGGAAACCTCCCACTATCATCTTCAGCTTCTTCTCCTTCCAGCACCAGGTAATTGCAACCATACAAATTCTCTTGTATTATTACTACGTTTTTCTCTAACCAAAACTTCTAGCACTCTCCAAATAGCATGTTCTGCAACACTTGCTAAAACGTGGCTTCCCGTCTCTTTCACAGGTCAGACAAGTAGCATGTCTTATTATAGTAAGATCCAGTAGTGGGTCTTATTCATGATGACAATGAGGGTGCTTACTGCAAGGAGGTTGTGGGTTTGGTGAACTGGTGTAAGAAAAACAGCCTAGTTTTAAACATTGGAAAAACCAAAGAGATCATTGTTGATGTCAAAAAAGGCAGGCACAGCCCCACTCCTCTGCACATTAATGATTCATCTGTGGAGATGGTTACCAGCATCAAATTCCTGGGTGTGCAGTTAATGAGTAGGCTGGCTTGGTCGCTCAACAGTGAGACACTGGTGAAGCTGGCACAGCAGCGCCTGTATTTTCTGCATCACATGAAAAAAGTACACCTTCCTTCTCCTGTCCTTACCACTTTCTACAGAGGGACGATCAACAGCATCCTGTCACATTGCATTAGTCTGGTTTGGAAGCATTACTGCTTCAGACAGGAAGGCAGTGCAGAGAGTGGTGAGGATGGCAGAAAAGATTATTGGTAGTTCCCTCCCTTCCATCCAGGACATAGCACAGAAGCGTTGCTTGAGCAGGGTCCGCAAGATTGTCTGGAACACTACATATTCCTCTTCATGACCTGTTTTCCTTGTTACTTTTTGGGAGGAAGCTCCATGGTATCTGAAGCAACATCCAGATTTAGTCATAGTTTCGTTCCATACAGTATTGACCTTGTGAATTCTCAAGCTTCCTCTTTCCACTATGTATTCAAGATGGACAATGATTAATATTTATATGTATTTATATGTAAGGGTGTAGGTTTATACATATGTTGTATATAGCATGTTTAAATGTGTGTTATATGTACTTTGAGAGCAAGCAAATAACATTTTTAATGTGTGTCAATGTGCCCACAGGAAAAAAATGACAATAAAGATTGTCTGTCTGTCTGTCTGTCTGTCTGTCTGTCTGTCTGTCTGTCTATCTGTCTATCTATCTATCTATCTATCTATCATCTGTCATGTCCTCCAGCAACTGAAGTGATGGGTCCCCCTTGCCCCCTATATACAAGACCTGACTCACAGAAATGCTGCCTACATCCAGACCCCACAAGAGCTCATCAGCCCTCATTACTTCACTCCAAGGCTATATCTGTGCTTCTTCCCTAGTTCTTTTACTTCTGCTGACTCATGCCAGCTTCTAAATCAGGCGGCTAAAATTTGTACACAACATGATATTGAACTTGAAACAAACATGGCATTCTAATTAAATTTTCTTTTCTTATCACACTGAATATTTGGTTCAGCTCATTGCACTGGTTTATGAAACAAAGATGTTGACATTATAGTCACAATGGCACAATTGTACTGTTTAGTGAGTTGCTGGTCAGTGATTTCCTGGATTCGGCTGCTAAATAATTAAAATGAATTATTAATTAAGGTACACAACATAAGCAAGCTTGAACTTTTTATTTATTTTATTTTTATTTATTAATTGCATTTATATCCCGCCCTTCTCCTTACGGACTCAGGGCGGCTGACAATTGAATAAAATACTAACATATATACATACTTAATTAAAATTTGATTAAAACGAAATATTTAAATATGTCCAATTTAAAAGTAATTAAAACCCCCTTTAAAATCCCTCAGGCCAGTCCTGCTAGTTGGAACAGCCACGTCTTGAGGGCGCGGCGGAAGGGAGATCAGGGATCACCCTGATCTCTGGGGGCAGTTCGTTCCAGAGGGTGGGGGCTCCCACAGAGAAGGCCCTCCCCCTTGGGGTCGCCAGCCGGCACTGTCTGGCTGACGGCACCCTGAGGAGACCCACTCTGTGAGAGCGTACAGGTCGGTGGGGGGT